TCTACTTCTTCAAGTTGACAGCCACTAATCTCGAGAGGTGCCTTCTCTTGGGTAGAGATGCAGCTGGAAAACACTGGTCTCCTCAGCGTTTATGGAGAAACCGACCGATTTTGCGACCTCGTTCAACGGTGACACCATAGACTGTTGATCAGCAAAGCTTGAAGCCAGCAAAGCGATATTATCGGCAAAGTCGAATTCAGTCAACCGGCGTCCGGTTGCAAGCTCAATAGCGTCATTTTCCTGTAGAACCTTCCCGAGAACACAGTCAATGGCGTAGTTAAAGAGGATGGGCGACAGGACACAGCGTTGTTGAACATCAGACCGAATAGCGAAGGGTCCTGAGAAGTTGTTGTGGATTAGCGAAATACATGCAGAGAACGTGTCCTACGTTGTGGCAATGAGACCAGAATAGAGTCCTGTTACAAGCAGCTATATATCGGTCGACCAGATGAGTGATTAAACGCATACTGCGCGTAACTATAAAAGAAGCAAGCGCCCTGGCGCACAATAAACGCACATGGTTGGTGAAGAAGCGAAAAAATACCTACCTTGAATGTATCCTGTTCGTCGTCATCATTCAGCTTCTCGTCCTCAGTCTCGCCGAGGATGTTGCTGTACCAACTCTTCCGCATGCTCTGAGACAAATACATCTGCCACTTGAAAAGGGAGAGTGGGGCGAAGGTAAGCCGCAAAGTAAGCTCTGGTGTGGTAGCGTTTACGGGCATGTACTCCTCATTTAGGTTCCAGTAGTCGTTGAAGTACACTACCGGATAGTACTGATTCGTCAGTGGGTGAAAACGGATGTCTAAAAACGAAGACGTACGAAGAAAATAATCGAAAAATGTTAACTGGGAGCAGGGACGATCAAAGAGAAGATCATAATATCGCAGTAAAAACTGTTCTAAAGAAGAATAATGCTGCAGGGGTGACTACATTTGAGGGAAGACTAAAATTGGTGACGAGAACAATCGTCAAGTCGGCGTATAGGAATTAACTAGACATCATGTTTCAAGCTTAACAGTATCGCAATTCTACCGAAGTTAGTTTTCCTACTTAAAGGCACGCCGACATAAGTCGGCAACTGCAGTCTGACTTCCGGTTCATACCCTAAATGAGCCATTATGCTGGAGCACATGTGTGACAATGGCGAAGCTTCAGGAGATGAACGAAAGGATGTGGGGCAAGCCGCCTAAATATGACACGGAAATAGGAGCACCCCGCCTACTTACTTAAAAGAGGTGGCTTGGAGGTAAGTTTCCGGAGTGGTAAATTTTCCAGTGCCTTAACCGTTACACCAAACCTAACATAAACTTGTACTTGTTGCGACTGCGATCATGACTGATCTAGCCGGCATCGTAGTGTAGTTATAGGAAGTAGTTTTTCATGAGGTGTTTTGGAAATTGTGAATACCAGAGAGTCCCCAAACAGCCGCACGGATTGTTTGCTCGAGGTTGTCTCCTCTAGCGCTTTGGGTCAATAGCCTAACCACAAAGCAGCGGTGGTGGCAGACGAAGTTATTTAATGACGGTCCATGCTCGCCATGTCACAGTACGG